AGAGAGAGAGAGAGAGAGAGAGAGAGAGAGAGAGAGAGAGAGAGAGAGAGAGAGAGAGAGAGAGAGAAGAGGGGGAACTGTGCCAAGCTGTCCATTATGTGACTCTGACACTTGCTACTTCGTTTCTTCTTTGCCTTTTGCCTTCCTGGAAATGTTCCAAGATGCACGCCCGGCATTATGGCTCTCATGTCAATGCTACTCCCGACAAGTCAACCACTCGACGAGCAACTCCCAAGCAGATTGAATGCTGATTGTTTCATTCATACAATGCAAAACCTGCGTAACATCAGCGGCACTCCTATAGATGGAGGCGCCTTCCAACAACTTCCCCGGGCCAATCATCACTGACATCATCGGAGCCCACCAAACTGAGACTCACCCACGCCCGCACGCACTTGCACACGTAGCGTCAAAAATCAACAAGCAAGCACGGGGCATACATGCAAGATCGCTTGATCACAAACATATCCAGAGAACACAGAAAACAAAGTCTGATTCTGAATCTTTACCAAAAACATCAATGGGACAACGGACTGGATTTTCCGAGAAAAGTGCAGAGTTCTTGCACAGCACAAAACAAAAACGATGCTGCAAAGGTAACGGCTCTCCAAACAAAACACGCAAAGATAAAGAAAAAAGAATGTTCGCATTGTTCAGTGGTATTCCCTGCTATTTTCTTGCACGCGGGTTTTGGTGTGCTCTCAGGCTCTTCTTTTTCTTATTGTGAAAGAAGCGGCATATGATAGGGCAGTTCCTTATGCGTTTTCTTTCTTTTGTGCTTTTTTCTTTTTCTGTTTTTGCGGGCGAAGCCGCAACGGGTCATCTAGTAATTTGGCTAAATTTTTAATTTATTTATGACTTTAAGATTCTTTTGTGGTTCCATTGCTGAAAAAAACAGGCTGAGTTCTCGGTGTTGCCAAAGGGAAAGGATGTGCGGCGTGATTTGGCTCCTCCTTGCTTGGGAATTGTTGTCTCCTGGAACACGTCTCCACTTGTCGCTGGACTGGGAGGACCACCCACCATGGTGGTTGGCTGGCGCTGTGAGTCTGCAGAGCTCAGTGGTGCTAAGGTATGTACTATGTGCTATAGAGTAGCACTATGTACTATGTACAAAGTAAGTAGTTAGTACTATATGCTATGCTATGTACTATGTACTAAGGTAAGTAGTTCGTACTATCTATTATAGTATGTACCATGTTAGTACTATGTACGTTACTATGAACTACGTATGCACCATGTACTATGTACTTAGTTATACTATTGACTATGTACTATGTATGTACTATGTACTTAGTTAAGTACTATAGTTATTTACTATGACTATAGTTATTTACTATGTACTATGTATGTACTATGTATTAGTACTATGTACTATACTATGTACTATGTACTACGTATGTACCATGTACTATGTACGTAGTTATACTATTTACTGTGTACTATGTATGTACTATGTACTACGTATGTACCATGTACTATGTACTTAGTTAAGTACTATAGTTATTTACTATGTACTATGTATGTACTATGTGCTATGTACTCAGATAAGTACTATGTACTATGTGCTAAGTACTATAGTTATTTACTATGTACTATGTATGTACTATGTACTATGTACGTAGTTAAGCACTATAGTTATCCTATGTACTATGTGCTATGTACTTAGATAAGTACTATGTACTATGTGCTATGTAGTAGTCCTATGTACTATGTACTCAGACAAGTTGTTAGTACTGTGTACTATGGTAAGTACTATGTAACTGTGCACTAAGGTAAATACTGCGTACTAGAGGCTCCCACACAAAACGATACACATTCAATCAAGGTTGTCAATACGAAGCTATAGTAAAGGTGCACGGTGTCTTACCGTCTAGCGGCTGGCACCCTGCATCTTCACAGACAATTCAATTTCACTGATGCTGTGTACTTTGTACTAAGGTATGTATATGTACTGTGTACTATATGTGCGCTGATTACAACCACCCGTAACCTGTCCCCCACCTCAAACTATGCACTATACTGTACGTGCACTGATTACTATCACCGCTAACCTGTCCCCCGCCTCCCACCCTGTTCCCCCTCCCGGAAAAGAATTAAAGAAAAGTAAAGACAGCAAGAAAGGAAAGTAAAGAGAAAAAACTTTTGAGGAAGTGGCAACCGGCGGAGAGACTCTGCCTCCTTTGTTCCATGCAATCAGCCATGTATGTCAGCGGGGGGTGTTCCGATGGGCCTGCGTTTTGCTTGTAGTAAAACTTATTTGATATGTGTATTGGGAACTTATGTGCAGACAGGAAAAGTCAATAACGAAGGGAGGAGTTCGGGAGGGTTGCTTTCCCCCCACCTCTCTTTGCATACAGCAGAGGCCTGCAATGACTTGCTGGTTTTGGTGGCCTGTAGCCCGTCGAGTCGAGGCTGTACCATAGGTAGGTTAGATTCGCAATTTTGTTTGGCTGAGGGCTAACCGAGAGACCTGCCTGTAAGGAAAATTCGAGTGCAATCAGACTTGCTTTCATTCACACTTCTCATTCATGCAAACAGGTGCGCAGCAAACTGGCGACAAGCTCCCACTCAGAACTCAGAGATATGGTAACCGAGTACACAGTTCAGATACAAGTTCACTTCAATGGCTATGGCGACTCAGCGCCCACACAACTCACTGTTCGCACACACAGGATCACCCTGGATATCCCACACGCTATACTCTGTACACACACACACACACACTGCACGCTATCTACAGCTATGGCGGCTATGGCCGCTACTACCCTATCGCTATGGCTAAGCTACTTCTCTCTCGCCCACTTTGTCTTCGGGCTCACTGCAGACCACCTCGCACAAGTCGCTTATGGCAGCGCTTCCGCATGGCTCACGCAGGAATGAATGAATGGCTGGGCGCTGCCTCTTGATTTATACTTCTGCAGCTCGTTGGTCTGGCCCTTTTCCCATGCCCGTAGTGCACACAGTCCCATGCGGTACTTGACCAGGACTGACTAGGACTGGGACTGCTGACTCAGCACGGGTAAACTCCACCACTTGCCTCACCACTTGCCCACTTGCCTCAGCCTAAACGTGGGCAACTTCGAAAGGCGACTACTCGGACCTTCCGGAAGGCCGTAGACTTGGCCTTTCGACACTGTAGCAGCTACGACCTTGGCCTTTCTGGACTGTAGCAGCTACGACCTTGGCCTTTCTGGACTGTAGCAGCTACGACCTTGACCCTTCGAGAAAGCTACAGCTACGACTTCTAGACCTGACTGAGACTCCTACTCGACAGGTCTACAGATCGAACCCCTGCTCCCTATGGACCCTACGACAACCTACCAACTGTTACAAATACACAGGTCACGGGTTCAACTCTAGGGGTCAACACAGATACTGTACACAGGTAAGGTGGGGACTAGGGATCGAGCCCTCGGATCTGCATCGGCTACTGCGAACTGGTGAATACCGTTTCACGAGAGGGACATATCGGCAAATTCGGGAAAATACAGGCCCGTACTAACTAGAAATTTCCTACAGCTACCCTAACTGTGAATAGCAGGCCCGGGCTACCCCTAGGACAGACAGGCCCTACGGGCCTAAGCTGATAGATGGTTCTATAGCCTATAGCCGGGTAGGGAGAGGCCCTAGAGGCTGAAACTGAAACGGTACTGGTCAGTCCTACCAGTCCGGTCTAGGTCGTGTCTAGGCTAGGGTAGATAGAAGGTAGAAATCGGTTCAGGGCTTTTGGCAGTTGGTACCGAGTACATCGCTGCTGTGCAACGCATGAACTGGAGGTGGTGACAGCTTCAGTGTTGGTGAAGACGGACATAGCCGGACCTGCGGAGCGTCGGCCATAGCTGGGACCTGCGCTGTACTCTGACAGCACGCGGGGCTGTACAGAGGTCTGGGCTATTCGAGGTCTGCTGGAGGCGAGAGAAGTTGGTGCCCTGCTGGACCCTCCTTAGGAGTAGGGTGTCAGAGGGTGTGGCGCTGGAGCCATAGCTGCAGCTTGTCCTCCTCAGAGAGCATCCGTGTCAGGAGAGGTGGCGCTGCTGCAGACTTCCACCCGGGAAGTCATCCGGCACTTCATCATCATCAGATACTGTGGCGCTGGTCTTCTTCTTCATCCTCTGAGAGGCGCTTGGCCTCAGAGGCCTGTTTCAGGGTGGTGCTTCCCTCTGGAGGCAGTATCTGGGTGGCGCTTGATGTTTCAGGGACTCAGGGGTAGTTCTAGCGGTGACTCGGGGTTGGAGAGTGAAGCGCTGCTCATTTCTGAGCAGCACACCATAGTTCTGAGGTTCCTGACAATTTGAGACTCTGAGTTGAATAAACAGTGTGTACACTGTGTGCAGACTATCTTTGCTTCATTGTTTCTTGGATGTTATCTACTCGGCTTTCCTTTGTGACTGGTTGTGAGGATTCTGTGGAGTGAAGTTCACTTTCAGTGTTCTCTGTCATATCGCATGGTCAAGTCTTCCGCTGTGTTTATCTCTCCCTGTGCGGTGTGATACTCCCATCCTCTCCCCTTCCTTCTGTGTATGTATGGGCATACTTGGAAGTCTATGTGAGCGAATGTTGGTCATCTGACAACAAACAACCAGGTTCATAACAGGCCTCCAACCTTTATCTTTCTCTCCGTACGGTGGTTGCTGTCTGCCTGACGTACTGACTGGATGGCTGTCTGCCTGCCTGCCTGCCTGGTGGGAATGGTTCTTTTCTTTTTTCGTTTTTCTTTTTTTTGTTTTGTTTTGGTGTGGATGGTTCTTTTGATCAGATATGGGAGTACTCGGACGCCTTCCAGAGATGGCATGCTGTCGCAGATATTTTTGTACAGGGAGAGGAACCGCTTGCCGCCAACGACATAGCTTGGGCACCCAACCTTGGCAGGTCTGTATGTTTTCTTCCTGTCTCCTCCCACCTTCTTTTCTTTTTCTCATGTATAAGATAAGACCGAGGAAGAAGTTATGTTGCATGAATTTGCATAATTTCCACTGACCTTCCACAACACCCCCCCCTTTTTCAAGGGCAACACCTATGAAGCGTTGTAAATGCCGCCTAGGCGCATTTTAATGTGTGTTTTGCCAGTTTTGGTGTGTGTTCCCTTTTTTTTTCTCTCTTCCCTTCTCAACACCTCGCTCCCTTCTTCTGTTCCCTTCCCATCCCTTCTCCCTTTCTCCTCCCTTTCTCCTCCCTTTCTCCTCCCTTCTCCTCCCTTCTCCTGCCTTCTCCTGCCTTTTTCTTCCTTCTCCTCTTCTCCTCTCTTCTCTTCTCCTCCCTTCTCCTCCCTTCTCCTCCCTTCTCCTTTCCCTTCTCCCTTCTCTTCTTCTCCCTTCCCTTGAATTCAGTTCCCTTTGATTCCCCTCTCCCTCCCTTTCTTCTACCTTCTTTTTTTTTCCAGCCTTCTGCCCACAGCTTAAAAGCCGGAAAGAACGAAAGAAATTCAGCCTGGAATGTGAGCCCGGTGCTTGAAGCTGCACAGCTAGTTCCTGGTTTCTTTCCAAGGCATCAAAAGCCCTGTGTGGGCAGTGCCAATGTACCAAGGCAACAACAAGTGTCTTGGGGCATTGCCAAGGTACAGTGTGGCGACAAGAACTGTGTCGCCAGCAGCACGACGGGCGCAAGTCGAAGAAACGACTTTGTTGGTCAGAGTCCGTACTGACTAGTCAGTCCCTGAGATCCTTGAACTCTGTGCAGTTCCTGGGATCCCTGAAGTGTATGCAATGCACACAAGAGGTTATCTTCGTAGCGTAGCATCCTTCCGTCCACTCTCTTGCAACCCTGCCCCCCCCTTTCTCCTTCTCCCTCTCCTTCTCCCTCTCCTTCTCTGCTTGAGGCCTGAAGCGTATATTGCTCTTTTCCTTTTTTTTCTTCCCCCCTCCCGTTAAACCACCACTACCTTTCAGGATGGAGAGTCCACCTCCGGCAATGGCAAGGAAAGGCTCCACGGAGCCTGGAATGATACACTCTTCATCTATGGATCACAAGCCAGCTACACTAAGGGTTATGGGTTGAACCTATCCCCTCAGGGTTGAGCCTAACTCCCATCGATGGGTGGAAGGACAGTAGCATTCCCCGCCAACCAACTAGGAGGGGCAAGCTGACTATCTCAGCTGGTGAACGTGCAGCACGCCTCAGGGGGCCGAGGGATTTCCCGGTCCAAAATGGAAGGCGAGAGGAATCGAACCCACAGCCTCGTGAGTGCAGCTTTCGTGCTCTACCAACTGAGGGCATACTCACACTAGGCCCTCAAAATCTCAAAATCGCAAAATGAGCAGCCAGATAGAGCCCTCTGCTTACAAGCACTCGATCTGGGCGTTCATTTTGCGATTTTGAGGGCCCAGTGTGAGTATGCCCTGAGCTAGGCTGCTGGCCCTGTTTGAAGAGCTTCTTGTTAGTTTTCATATGTTTTTTTGGTGGCATTCTGCAAATTTTCGTCTTTTGTTCGATACATTCAAAATGTTGAATCAGTGTAAATGAATCTGGGCCATGCTGCCGTCCAGAAACATGTAGAATGCTGTCTAGTTCAGCAGGGTCCAATAGCTATAATCCACAGGTGTCGCTGTACTGTGTAAAATGGTCACACCTGTTACGATCCTGGCTATTTCCGGAGTGCAAATTCACAAGGAAAGACAATGCCAACCAATTGCGAAAGAAATGAAAGCACTTGCAAAGAGATAGAGACCAAAGAAGAAGAAAGGAGAAAGAAGAAAGAAGAAGAAGAAGAAGAAGAAGAAGAAGAAGAATTCCTGAACCCCCTACCGTAAATCATAGCAGGCGACTGGAACACCACTTTGGATCCCAACCTGGACCGCATTTCCCGGGCAACGCTGCTGGGACCGCATTTCCCGGGGCACACACCTGAGAAACATCATGACGGAGTTTGACCTGGTAGACCCTTTTCGAATCCTCCACCCACGCAAGAAAGCCTTCCCCCTAGTCAAAAGGAACCGGTCAAACCATACATCACTATCACGGAAAGACTTCTTCCTAATTTCCGACATGTTGCAGGGAGCAATCAAGGAGGCCGATATCCTACCAGCAGCAGCCTTCAAGGGGCTCGATCACAAACCGACCTACCTGCTCCTCAACCTCAGGGCAAGTTTTTTTCAGATTCAGAGAATTCGGACTCCCAGGTGCCAATAATTGACAAAGTCAGTGCAGCGCCACATCACCCTGTACTGCGCTGCTTGGGAATTGGGGATCCTGACCCCATTCCACAATCACCACCTCCTGGGATCACTTCCTTGACAATCACCAGTCTCCAGATCAATCGCCAGGCTGAATTTAGCCTCTCAGAGCCTCCCAGGCCTCTGAGCATCAATCGCCAACCACTCCTGCACAACCCTGTCAGGAGTGAGTCACTCTCTGCCCAATTCTTCTCGCCACTCACTCACAACCACCACCCTTACTGACAACAACCCTGAAGATGATGAATCGCCATGAAACTCGACTCCAGTATCTCGCCAGACGATGATGGATGCTCCAACTCATCAATCGCTCCAAAGCCTGGATCCAATAGCTCTGATACCAACTGTTATGATTCTGGTTTTGTTGCCTGTAGGCCGTTACTCACTCACATAGACTTCCTGGTATGCCCATGCATACACAGAAGGAAGGGGAGAGGATAGGAGTACCGCACAGGGAGAGAGAACACAGCGGAAGACTTGACCATGCGATATGACAGGGTACACTGAAAGTTCAATTCACTCCACTCAATCCTCACAACCAGTCATAGAGAAAAGCCGAGCAGATCACATCCAGGAAAACAATGAGATGATGATAGTCCAAACACAGTATCACACTGTTTATTAAACTCAGAGTCTCGAATTGTCAGGATAACTTCAGAACTACAGTGCGCTGCTCAGAAATGAGCAGCGCTTCACTCCCCAACCCTGATTAGCACCCGTAACACCCCTGAGCCCCTGAAACATCAAGTGCCACCTAGATACAGCCTCCTGAGGGAAGCGCCACCCTGAAACAGGCCTCTGAGGCCAAGCGCCACTCAGAGGATGAAGAAGAAGATCAGCGCCACAGTATCTGATGATGACGAAGTGTCGGAAGACTTCCCGGGTGGAAGTCTGCAGCAGCGCCACCAAACCCTGACAAGATGACCTCCGAGAAGAAGAAGCTGCAGCTATGGCTGCAGCGCAAACCCCCTGGAACCCCACTCCGGAGGAGGGTCCAGCAGGGCACCCGTCTCTTTCGCCTCCAGCAGACCTCGATAACCTAGACCTCTGTCAGCCCCTGCGTGCTGGCAGAGTACAGTGCAGGTCCCAGCTATGGCCTGCACTCCGAAGGTCTGGCTATTTCTGTCTCTCTCCACGCTGAGCCGTCACCACTTCCGGTTCACGCGTAGCGCAGCAGCGATGTACATGGTACCAACTGCCAAAAGCCCTGAACCGATGTGCTCATCCTATTTATAGTCTAAACTAGCCTAGACTCGACCTAAACTGGACTGACTGGCCGACCAGTGCCGATTATGTTTCAGCCTCTAGGGCCTCTCCCAACCCGGCTATAGGCTATTGGACCGACTATCAGTGGACCGACTATCAGCTTAGGCCTATAGGGCCTGGCTGTCCTAGGGGTAGCCCGGGCCTGCTATTCCCAGTTAGGGTAGCTACAGCCCTGTATTTTCCCGAATTTGCAGATATGTCCCTCACGAATTTTCCTTACAGATAGGTCTCTCGGTTAGCCCTCAGCCAAACAAAATTACGAATCTAACCTAAGACGCGACCCGACCGAGCCAAGCCTCAAGCTTCGCCCTCGGCCCAATATACAGTCCACTGAGAATCTGCAGGCTTCATTACACCGCACACCCGTTCTATCAGCGCAGCAAAGAGCCTTCAATGGACAAAGCAGCATGGCCTGCGTGTACTACTCCCATCGGTTGGCATAGTGACCGTGACCCGTGCTTCAACCAGGGCCCTTCAGAGGCACCGCCCTATCCTGCCAGATGCGCCACCAGGAAGAATGTCATCTCTCAAGGTAGAGCGCTCACGACTCCTCACACAAAGGAGAGGACACTCAAGGTTTGACTCACTTCCTCATGGTAAGAAGAGATTGAGAGGGTAGATAAGGTAAGGGAACAACGTACCTGGAGATAGTTGCCCCCAGCCACAGATTTCTCACCAATTGAGCCGATGTGCTTCCATGACCGGATGTAGCTTCGGTACCACCCACAACGCAATGCAGTGCCACCTCAGCCAAAATGCCCCATCAGCATGCTCTCATCATCATACATACATCCGCTGTCGTCACAGCTCCGATGCTGTCGCCACAGCCTTCCAGCGGCTCACCCCTCTACCTGGGTGCCACTCTTACAAGCCAGCGCCAATGTATCCTCACTGCACAGAAGCATCGTCAGCACACCAAGTAACAATGTCGCAGGCGGCAGGTAAGGCGATCACGAACCAGCTCCGATACCAAATTGCAAGGAATATGTGAGAACGATATACAGAAAGCCAAGTTGCGAAATCACACAGATGTCCAAGTAGTCGAGTACAAGCAGAGAGCACAAATGCACCGAGCTTCCATCCAAATAAGAGCAATACAATGAACTCATGAGCCAATGTTCAAGCCCTCAGGCCACACCAACACAGTATCCAATGTCGCTCCTCTCTGTCTGGCACCCAGGGCCCAGCCTACACTACTTGCCTATCCTACTACATCCACATTCATGCAACTGGCTGACTTCGACTTTGAAGACCAATGCATGACATCAACACCATAGCCGACCTCCCTCATGCACCAGGTATGTATCTCGTCTCCCCTCATCAGACCCTGACCACCCACACTCGCCTCCTTCTTGAAGACCACCGATCGCCCTCTTACCCCCTAGCGCCCTGCAGCCCGGCTACGGCTGCTCGTGCTCCGCTGCCCAGCAGCGCCCCTCTCACCTCTCAAGCACCCACATGCGCCCTGGCTGCCAGCGCAGCAACGCAGCAGCGTGACCGCATTGCCTGTGTGGGCCAGAATGCCTGGCTCTGGCTGCCTCCTTCCCTATATGGAAGTGGCAGCCTCTGTTTAGCTGCGTGTGGCCTGGCTGGGAAGCTTCCAGTAGCTTCCGGTCAGGCCCCAGTGCCTGCGCCCAGGCCCAGCTGTGCAGTTGAGGGCCTGGGCCCTTTACAGTTGAGCACAGGCAATATTTCCAGACTTGGGCTGTTTACTGCACTTGCACAAGACCCGGGGTATGTACGTCGACAATGCTGCTTTTTCGTAGGCCCGTAGCCAATTTGTGATGTATCTGCCTTGCATTGTGTGTGTCCCCAGGCGCAACTACTAAGGCCTGGGCCCAATTTTAGGATGCAGCACAGGGAGGCTCACGCTTCCTCTCAAACAACTGGCGTGCTGCAACTGCCTGAGTACCCACATACGGAAAATGTCAATATCTTTGCGTCTGGTGATTATTCAGGCCCGCCTTCACTTAGGGCGGGCACGGGGCTTTCTGAGGGCCTTGCGAGGGCTCATTCCTCGCAAAATCAATTGTTGTTCCTTTTCTGTTTTCCTTCGGTACACTGTTGTCTCTTTCCCCTCTCCTGTTTCCTTGTTGATAGGTTTGGTATTAACTTGTTGTAAACTTGTTGACAAGAATTGTTTTTTTTTCTGATTTTTTTCCCTTTTTTCTTTTCCCTCTTCTGAATTTGTGGCATGACCTGTTGTGCGTACACAGGCTGTTTGATCTCATTGGCGTCGGGTCAGTTGACGGGATCTCCATTTGGCGTGTCGACTATCCGTCGTACTCTGATCCGTCCTACGCAGATGGGTGCCCCATCGTAAAAAGGGTTGCTCACTTCAGAAATCATCAAGCAGAGGTTGGTATTAAAAAAGAAAAACATAGTAAACTAAGCAAAGTTGATTTTGAAAATGATGAATAAAATTCAGCAAAAATTCTAGGCTACCAGAGTGGCCCGGGACCACTCTGGCAGAGTGGTCCAGAACCCCGAATAACCCCACCAACACCCCCATAGCCGCCCCCAATACAGCCCCCCAATACCCGCATGCACCCCCCTCAACACCCCCAAATTGCCCTTCAACACCCTCGTACCCTCCCCAATACCCCCTATACCACCCCTATATCCCCCTATGCCCCCCCTATACTCCCCCCCAACCCCCCCATACCCCCCCTGATCCGCGAAAGTCTCTCACCGGATTTGGGCTGTAGTCAACAAGCGCAGTACAGCCCCCAACGCAGATTTGAAAAACAATTAGTGGATGGCTGTTTTCTGACTGGTCGGCAGACCGCCGACCGGTCGGCCCTACTGGTCGGCTGCAATACAGTCGGTGGTCGGTGTAGGCGGTCGGCGGGTATGCAACCCTGACGTAGAGTCATTATTGCTGTATCTAGACTCAGAGTTGTCCCAAATACAGCTATAATGACCCGTTATATTCGGGTGAACACAGTAGTAGCCTAATCAGTGGAGCGTAGAGGGTAACCTAACTGGCTGAATGTTTCCGATTTGGTAAGTGAGTGTTTGCCTCCTAGCCTAATTGGCTAAAGGTTTCCCTATTGTCTAAGTGTTTCCACTATTGGCTAAGTGTTTCCCTCCCTTGAGTTCGTTTTGAACAACTATGGAATCAACCATCACAATTGTACACTTAAACCATCTGAAAAACAAACAAACAAATAAATAAATAAGTAAAGATATGGCTAGGCTTCCAAACAATAAGTGCGAGTTTCACCTCTCTCACTATTGGCAGAGTACATCTATATTCGTGTCGCCTTAGAGAATTCCTCTCCCCCCCCCCCCCCCCGGGAAACAGCATTGATTACAAAATTTTATTTATGGTATGGAATCTATAGATTTAATAATTGATTTTAACTCAAATATTTGTTTCTGTAACGGTGTAACCTAAGATTATGTTAAATCAGGTCAACCCATCGATTTGTGAGTGTAATCCGTAAATGCGGAATGAAGCACTTTGTGTTTGCATGCTCAAGCCTGAGGGGCATACTCACACGAGGACCTTTTCTGCTGAGCTCTGGACGTGATTACAGTCAGATGCATCCCAGTCTGGCCGTAATTGCAGTCAGATACATTTAGGAAAGTGCTAGTGTGAGTATGTGCAAGAGATGAGCATTTTCTTTTTGAATTGGCACTTCACCTTACCCGCCCACATTTTTTTTAAGTACAGCCCGTCCTCGAGAACAAAAAAACAAACAACATCTAAGGGTGACCCAATGCACCCAAGTGTTTATCTGAAATTTTCCTCCCACACCCAACCCGCCCGTCACCCTGACCCACCCACACCTGCGAGAACAAAATTACCCGCCTGCACGCCGTACTAATTGTTTTCCACCCGCACCCGCCCGTTCCCTATCGTCTCAGTCCCTTCGAACATTTACACGCACCATAGCAACATGACATCTTTGGATGACGGCGCGATAATTCGAAGCATCTCCACCTTGTGCCGTTCTTTGATGACGACGTGAAAATTTGAAGCGCTCCACAAGTTTGAAATTGGGGAGCGAACCTTGCCACTTGTTGTGCTTAGGTTTGATCCCATTGTTGGGCCGTTGTCCAGCTGCCACCAGTAGAGCGTGACACATTTTCTCAAGGAGGATCCAAATTTTTGATTTCACGCTGGCGGGGCTCTTTTTTTCCAGGGAGGCCCAGCGTGGAGACTTTCCATTTCCTAGGCCGCTTTGAAGTCCACAGGTGGACCGCAGC